AGCAGAAAAAGTGCAGGTATATTAGCTCACCTAATGGTTTCAGAATGCAGGGTAATAGGGGTCGCACAATAGGTACAACTTCAGTACCTGAAGAGAGTTACATGTTTGGCCTACCTGACTGTTCAACCTGAGTTAATCCAAAGAATAAAGGAAGCTCAATCCGCCGATTCCACCCTAATAGCCCTCATAAAAGATGTAGAACATGGAGTAAATTCAGAATTTCAAGTCTCTGACGACGGGTTACTCAGATTTCAGGATATGGTGTGTGTTCTATGCGATAGTGAGCTGAAAAGGTATATATGACAGAGACTCATAGCTCAAAGTTTATCATGTATCCCGGAAGCACCAAGATGTATTAAAGTATGTAACCCTGATTTTGGTAAAACATGATGAAAAGGGAAGTGGTCGACTTTATTTCCAAGTGTTTAGTGTGTCAGCAGGTCAAAGTAGAGCATCAACGCCCAAGCAGGCTACTTCACCCATTACCGATTCCGGAGTAGAAGTGAGAACACATCACAATAGATTTCGTGACAAGATTATCTAGGGCAGGCTCGAGATATGATGTCATTTGGATAATTATTGACTGGCTCACCAAGTCTTCTCACTTCTTGGCCATCAAGATGACCGGCTCTTTGGACAAGTTAATAAGAATGTATATCCGAGAGATAGTCAGGTTACATAGAGTACTAGTGACAGTAGTATCCGATAGGGACCCCAGGTTCACCTTTCAGTTCTGGTTTAGTTTTCAGCAAGCCATGAAAATGAAACTGTCTTTTAGTACCGCATTCCACCCTAAGACCGATAGACAATTAGAAAGGACAATCCGCACACTAAAGAATATGCTCTGAGCTTGTGTTTTTGACTTTGGGGGCCATTGGGATGATCATTTACCCTTAATAGAGTTTGTCTACAATAACATCTACCAAGTAAGTATCGACACGATTCCGTATAATGCGTTATATGGCCGTCCATGTAGATTGTCGATATGTTGGGAATAGGTGGGTGATAGAAAATTGTTCGGCCTAGATCTTGTGGATGAGACTACAGCTAAAATAGTTAAGATAATAAAGAACATCCAGACGGCTCAGAGCAGGTAGAAGGGCTATGCGGACACTCGAATGAGGGATTTAGAATTTGAGAAAGGTGATCGAGTGTTCCTTAAGGTCACTCATTTTAAGGGAATCAGTAGGTTTGACAAGAGAAAAAAACTAAATCCTAAGTTTATTGGGTTATTTGAAATCTTAGACAGAATTAGTACCGACGCCTACAGACTGACATTACCTCCAAAACTATCTAGAGTTCATAATGTGTTTCATGTATCCATGCTACGCAAGTACAACTCGAACCCCTCTA